CCGCAGAGCGGGGTCGGCGGATTGTAAACTTAAGGCTTCGAAGAATCTCCCAGTAAGGAACAAGTGCTGGAGGGAGAACTATCGAGAGGCTGATGTTGAGTATAGGAATTCGAGACTTATGAAGCAGAGGCAATTGGCGAGATGTTTCTACCGAACCTTAAACCCCACAGCGTAAGATCCTAGCCCTGAACCCAAATAATCCTCATCCTCAACGCCAAAATCCGATCCCTTCGCCGTAAATCCCAAACACCTTGAAGAGTGGCTTGCATGGACTCGGGATCCTCATGGACAACGCGAAAAATTCAGGCCTCCACAGTCTTGCTGCACTGAGGCAGATGGGCAAAAAACTGCACCAACTCATACGGTAGATTTCCTTGAGATTTTCTGTGGAGGTTGGGCGTTATTCTGTGCAATGGTCATGTAAAATTTTGCCCATCAAATAGCAACTCCGGTGCTCTCGTTAAGGAACAAGTGGAGCGCGATGTCTTGCAATCCAAGTGTACCGACCGAAGACACCAGAACCGTGCAAGACCCCAGCGCTCACTTATCCACATATATATATATATACGTACATACATGTACAACCACGTGAATACTTTAACATGGAAGGTCATCGAAACTAAAGCTTTCTGCGGAACCGAGAATGCGCCAATTTTTGACAACCCACAATCTCCATACGTGTAAAGACGTATGTCTGTATGTAAGCACTGGGGTACAGGGGGTATTGAACCATGAGTCGTGTCACCAGCATTCTGTCTCGACTCCCTTTCTGCCAGGTTGCTGCCTCTGAGCTGCCGCACGAGAATGTGGATCGGTCTCTTCGGGAGGCCGGAGGCATTGACTGCTTTGTGTGCAGTAAGCAGTGCAGTAGCAGTACTACTTACGACATCCCTTACATGTGGCCTGATAACCAGTTTCCTGACTCCTTCGTAAGCAACGGGAAGTTGAAGGTTTCAGCTCCAAGGAGGGGCAAGCTTGAAGCTCTCAAGGATCCCATAAAAAGAGTCACAGGATACTCCTAGGGTCCTTGTTTTAGGCAGTGGGGACTGCCAAAATCTCCACGTTACCTGAGAAAAACCATGCATAGCCCCCTCCTTGTTCTTGTCCATGTGGTTCTCCATTGTGAGCCTGAGCTATGGGATGCGGACAGCTTGAGGAAGAAACAGGTCGGGTGAGAGCTGTTTCTTACACACGTCACATTGGTTAATGCGCATAACCCAAGTTCGGGCAGGGTAGAATCAGAAAAATGGTAGGAACAACCTCCCAAAGGTTCTACCTAACCTGAAAAATCTGAATCACAATTGGAACAACCGGTGGCAAATTCACGAAACTTTTCGCGGGGATACTGTAGTCTCTGAAATCTGATCCCTGTCTACAGTCCTAACAAGGACCCCCCAAACCCCCGTTCAGCCGTTTATCTGCCTGTCGCCCCTTGTCCCAGATGCCTTTGACACCATAAAAAGGTTTACATTGGCGGCCTTTCCTGGGCTAGTGCCGACAAGGACTGGATGTGGAAGGTTACTGGACTGAAGGAAATCTTGCACCACCACATCTACCTTATACTTTCTGGGAATTGCAGTAATAATACTGAGTATGCTGGGGATTTGCACTTTGTATCAGTCACCTTGAACAGGATTTTGTAGGGCTTGCTTCAAGAAACCGTCCAAGTAGCTCCCACGCAATTTCACCTCAAAGCAGTACACTGTGTGCCCACATAAGCTAGGGAGTTCCAGTAAACAGAAAGCTGTTGTTTCTTTCCTTTTTATACCCTAAAAGAGCAACCAACAATGATTTTGGGAGTGTTCTAGGGCAGAGATAGGCAATGCCTACTGAGCAAGCAGGACGTGGTCATTCCGGCCCTCGAAGCGGCCTTCCAGGATTTGCTGAAATGCTGTGGTGTCCGTTATCTGGAATCTGTATGTCTCCTCTCCCCTCGTTGGGTTGGGTCCCACATGTTTATAGAGTATTTGGGAGGGAGGGTCCAGGTAAAGTGTAATTCGTTTCATGGCATGGGCTGAGAATAGACCGCATTGACAACAGTGGCAACTCTGAGCTTATTCGGCTTGCATTAGAAGCCAACGTAGAACACCCAAATTGCCATAAGAACTCACAGGCCCAATTGGGAGTTTAGGTGAGAGATGACCGTGACTTCAACGTCTTCTATTGAGGCCTCCCTAACCTTGACAAGGAGCTGGAGGACTACCGCAATCGCTACAAGGATGTGAAGAGCCCCATCATTAATGTCACCGCCTCTGGTGACGGGCAAGCTTCCGAAAAGGGTTCAAGCTTGGAGGGTCAGGGAACTTGGAAAAGGGAGACCCGTACCCGAATGGAGAATTCTGCAGGGATAGGGTAATCTCCCTACTTGGCGCAGGTTTGAGTAAACGTGCTTTCCACCCCTATAAGATGCCATACAATAACCCCATGTATCTCCAGTGTCAACCTACGCGGAGCTGCTCCAGAATAAGGCCGCCAGAGAATATAAAGGCATTGAAGAAAATTCCACTTCCATAGAAAAAAGAAATGACTAGTGACTCTAAATAGAAAAGTGTCAGACTCTGCGAATTTCAGACTACACCGAAAACCACCTCAAATCTGAACCTTCCTCCTTGTTTAGAGCTGCAAAGTACTCGCTGAAATTCCTGTGGTTTGTAACCACCGAAATGCCACTACCTTTAGAGTAGTCTTTCACCCCTAATTCGGCCCCCACAAATGCTCGAAATCTACCGTAAGGTGTTCTACTTATGCTGAGTTCGGATTACGTGCAAGTCCCCGTGACACCTCCAACAGTCCTTTCTCCAACGCCGCCCCTTTTAACGGCAGAGTTGGTTGTAGTGAACGCCACGGGCAGCAATCTCGCCAATGCGAAGAAAGCTGATTTCCCTAAGAGCTTCTCGAAGCTGCCAGCACTATTCCTTCATAATCCTTGAAGAACTATGGTATAATGTACGTACCCCAAAGCCCTTTACTACTTGCTCCTAGAATAAATATCCCAAATATCCATAAGAAGAGCTGATGTGTCTATCGATTTGAGGTTGCAGGCCATAGCTGGTAGTTGGGAAGTCAAAACCCTTCCAGGTTGAAGTCCACTGAACCGTGTCTTTCACTTTTCCTTTCGTAGGGACTGGAGGAATGCATACTTATAGAAGTCCCTATGATGTGGTCCTGAATAATGACCCTCCAGTGCATCCCTCCCTCCCCACTAGGCACCAATAAGGTTTAGATGAGAGAAGGACAGCCTCTCTTTGCCTAGATCTCCTAAACACTCATAAGCGTAGCCTTGTACTCCAAAAGGATTGGTGCCCAGCTTTGGATAAAGGCTTCGCCAGTGGTATCAACTGTCCCCAAAGTTCTTCTGTTTTGTGGCATGGCAGGCAAGCCAGCTTGTTGAAAGGTTCAGGGAACAAGTCTTTCAGAAGGGGGTATCCTGGGGATTCTTATGAGGCATGATGTAAGCTAGATATGACTTAACACCCGTATGTGCCCAAAGATAAGGTCCCTGCATTAGCATCCTTTGTATCGAAGCACAAACAACAGGGACCCTACACGTTTTTTTGAAATCCCCATTTGCGTTCCGAGGTCCACATTCCACCGGCTCTGCCCTTCAAGCGACACTCGGACTGGAAACTGGTTTCACACGGCTACATGCTTGGAGGTCCGTTGGTAGGCTGAAGCTACTTATAGCTGTGCGTAGTCCCCCCCTAAGTCTGCCAACATGGTACGGTTGGCTTAGAACTACAGTCAGCGGTACGTTGTGAGTGCCCATGGACCTCCAAGTGGGGGTTTCCAACAATAGAAGCCAGAGATCTACGGAGGTTATGACGGGATTGCGAGCCCGCTCTCAGGATGATATATATATATATGTATGGACCATGGTGCAACACTCCCAAAGAGCAGCGTGAAGCATTACAGGTCCGTTGCTGCACGGCCTGGCTCAGACTTGCAGACCCCGCCAAATCATCCCTGCCAAAGGTAGCTTATGTGAGCCATACTCTAAACTCCTTAAAGGGGGGTTATATAGGGGACTACTATAGGGGTTATTAAGGGGGATACTAGCCGTTTAGACAATGGCTCATGTGGATTTGTAGCGCTTCGGGCTTAGGATCGGAATTTGCGAGTTGCAGAAAGATATTGAATGAGGACACCCACAATGCTGTGGCAACCCCGTTGGATCCCAGAGGGCTAGGGATTTACAGAATGTGGGTTATCAACAGCACTTACATGCAGGTCATAATCTCCTGGAATTCCCAGTGTGGGGCAAGCTTGCAGAGTTCTGTCTAGCCATAGTGGAAGATCAACCACAAGGCCTTAAAAACCTGAACAGAATATGTCCACAGAACCCCATGACAGGGTAATGTAGACCAATGCTTAATAAACCCCCTTTAAAGGGCCTTAATACGGGGGCTTGATTAATCAGGGGTCGGCTTTAGCCCCAATGCCTCAAAGCCCTAGCCTGGTGGTCCAACTTCTGTACCCAGGATCGAAGACTCAAAGCAGCTCTACCTTCGTCTTTGTCGAATTCTACGATCGACTGCTGGTGCGTAGCTTACTGGGGGGTTGAGCTTACGATTTCGGGGTATAATGCTCCAGCATGCCTTGTAGATCCTGTGCGATTGCGAACGTGATGGGTAGTAGGAGTGGAAGCCTACAAAAAAACGGCTGCAAGACTACTTCTGGGATTTTATCCTCATTCCTGAGCCGCCTAAACCTGAAAATGCTTCAAGGTAAGTCAATAGCCTTTACTACTCCCCCACACTCTTCAAGGCTCCCTCGCATCAAGGTCCTTGTAACAAGACTTCAACACAGCCCTACACCCTAAAACATCCTTAAGCCGAATGCACCGGAACCCTAAACCTTCAAAAAGGCTCGAACAGCCTTGCAGCTCAGCGGCCTTCGGATTGGGGACCGCTCCGCGCGCATCTGCCCTCCAAGCGCCCATGGCAGCAACGCCGAGGGCCTCTTCAGGGCCACGTATAGGCTTTGCGGGTTTTACATTTATTGTTTTAGGGTCTGAACCCCAGTGTTTATAGGGAATAAATAGAGTGTGTAAAGACCTTTGTTGGAAGGTGAGGTGAGGAAGGCAGGGCGGGAATGTAATGGTAGATATAAAAAAAGGTCCATATAAGGCACACCCCCCCATACTTGTCTCAAGCAATGCCTCACCTTTCCAAAGCCTTCACGAGCAACTCCTAAAATGGGGCATCGCTACTAAGGGACCCTGGGGATATATGAGCCATTGTCTAAACTCCTAGTCCCTATATAATCCCCTTTAAGGAGTCTAGACTTTTAGCTCATATGCGGATTGGGGACATTGACCTTCGAAGTGTAAATCGAATTTTCCCAACCTTCAGAAGGGATATGAGAGTTTCCAAGCAAAAGGGGGTACTTTTAGGGGTCCCAGCCATGAGGACTATGGCATGTTTTGGTGCTGTTCTTTTCATCAGGGTGTTGTGTGAAAGCCGTCAGGGCGCAGATGTTTGAAGGGCCGCACAGCAAAGTGGTTAGGCATTGAGTCTCAGGACTTGGAGCGGGTGATAGGTTAGGAGGACCCCCATCCTGCAACAGTGACTATAAGGGACATTAGGGTCCTACTATATTACTAGCATGCCACTATTACAGGGTCAGGGAGGTCCTCCTAAGTTAAGGCGTGGGGTCTGCGATTCTCTGAGCTAAGATCGGATGACCCTGAGGCCTCGCTCTATAAAAGCTGCAACCGACACCCCTGAATCCAAGATCCGAGCCCCGAGCCCTAAACCCTACATCCCAGGCCCAAAGCCTAAGCCTGGAACTTTAAAGCGAAAGCCTTAAACTTTCAAGAGCCGGGATGGAGCATCCTGAAGCCCATGGGTGCAAGCATCTCAGGTGCTGGTGTGGACTTGGCAGGCGGAAGAAGTGTTTTGATATTTCCCGATGCCGTGTAATGTAGTAAGATTTCAAGCTATACCTCAGGTCCTGGGGTTGAGGCTTCCCGACATGCCTCATATCTAGGGTTGGAGCCTTCAAGAAAAGAATCATGGGTATGGAGGGTTCTTGTCGAGGCCTAGGTTCTTTGTTCTAGCCAAGTCTTCCGCCTCCCCCTGTAAAGAAGTAGGATGAGTCGCGTGCGTCGCGTATATCCTTAATCGATTCTTCAGGTTGGTGGGCTTGTAGCTTCCAGGCAAGCCCGGAAGCGAATTAAAGAGCCAATGAAGGCATGACAGGTCAGTACACTTTGGGGTTTCTGTCCTGCTGTCATGACCTCGGTATAAAGGTAGCCCGGAGAGAAAGCAAAAATGAACCTCATCAGCGCGTGTCAAAGATAGCAAGGGCCCTCAAGCAAACCGCAACAAAAGCGCGACGGGGGAACCCAGAAGTGCGAGTACAACCTGCGATAGGAATCTCAGTAGCGACCACGCGGGTGCCCAAAGGTACCAGTACTGAGATACCCTACACCAACAACAGAGTCTCTAAATCAAGGCCCGTCCATTTCGAGAAGCCTCAGCCCTAAAGTCTTCACCCTTGAGATGCCCATAGCGCCACAAACGATCCAGTGTCCTCACTGCGGGACCAGGCCCGAAATAGCCAAAGCCCTTAACCCTTAAATTGCACCCANNCCCCCCCCCCCCCCCAGTGTGAGAAGCCCACAACCCTAGACCTCTGAATCCCAAACCTTGAAACCCTATACACCCTCCAAACCCACAACCCCCAACTTTAAAGCCCCGAAGCCTAAGAGCCTGAGAGCTAAACCCCTGATCCGAAAATCCACAAACTCCTGGGGCTGAAGCTTAATCGCCTATAGAGCCCTAAAACTTCAAGCTCCTGGCCCCAAATCAATTAATCATCCCTATGTACACTGTATACAAATCTATGTGTATATATATATA